AAAGCGTGGGCTCAGAGAAGACCACGAGATACATGAGGTTGCACACCCAAGTTTTCCCAACCTACGATTCCAACAGCACAAGGTCTCACCGTCGGGATACAAGGCCTCCAACCTCGGGTGCACAGAGTCGTAGCGTTGCTGTATTTTGTCGAGGGTAGCCTTGTCGATGTCCTTCAGCTGGAAAGGGGGGGCGTCTGCCGGGTCCGGGACGCCTCCGACGAACAGCTCATGCGGCTCCCCAGCGAAAACCCCATCTCCCGTCAAGCCTGTGTACGCCTCATGATGCATGTACTCCTTCATGCCCACTGTCACCTGTTGAGGAGAGTAGGACAAGGTGAAAGGTTGGTGTTTAGGCACGCGTCTGGTGTCACTCACCCCAGTCACACGGTTCTGTATACTCACCCCAGTCACACGGTTTTGTATATAGGGCGGCTGATCGAATATGCTGACGAACGAGAGAGTGGGCCAGTCGGGGCGTGCAAGAAGAGTGCTTCGCACCTACGTTCTTTTCTTTATCCGGTGACCTCGAACAGTAACGTTTCCCAATATTGCCTGGCTTCAGGGCAAGCACACCGCTACTACTCCGCAACACACCTGCGACGGGCCGTCTTTGAGGAGCTGGAAAGCGCGTGATTTGGTGATGCCGTGAATATTCCTGACGACAGGGCCTGGGGGAAAGACGCCTTTGAAGTTCCCCAGGTTTCGAAGGGTGGTGGTGTGGACCGGTAACGTCTTGTACGCGGCGGAAAAGGCGGCCGCCTGCTCCTTCCGCGTGAAAAGGTTTCGGTTCTTGCAACCAATTGCAAACCTTGGACACGAGAGGGAGAGGGATGGTATAACGGGAGCCGTAAGTCGGACTGGAAAAAAAAATCCACGAAAACGTTCTTTCTTTGTGTTAAAAAACTAGACTATACATAAAGATAGGATCTACATTATTCAGTACATACATACAGAAACAAACGAGCGTCCTTGAAGGGTAGGCGCAAGACGCCACGAGAGGCCACAGTAATAAAATGACGAGGCTACAGGTAGGATTTTTGGGCGAGACAAGGTCTTGCCTTGCGCAGAATGTGAGTGTGCTGCAGCTTCGTGCCTAAAGGAGTATATTGTGTGTTGGTGATACAAGTTGCTTATTATATTTCGCCGCAAGAAGGGGCTGAGGATTATCCGTTCATTTGTAGTGGGCGTCAAAACGAGGAACAAACTGTTTCATGTTGGGTTTGTGGGTGTTTGAGTCGTCCTCATTTCGTCTCGCCATGGTATCGCGTGGCATGTGGTTTGCCGATAAATCACTGATGATACCTTGTCACTTCCTTCCGCAACTTATTGCGTCTTGCAGGGGCCTTCAAAGAATTCCCCGAGAAGTTGTTCATCGATCCAACTCCGGTCGTCATCTCCTACCAGAGCGTCTCTGGAGGCGCTCAACACAAGAGCCACGAGCTGCTGCACCGCAACCAGCAGGAACACGTGCTGATGGTGCATCGCGCACCTCCAGCTGCAGGTGGCACAGTGAACTTCACGTGCAACAGACGTGTTGTGGTGTCGGATGTGTTCGGCCACTCGCGAGGCAACATTCCACACGCACGACATGTCATCCAGTTGGAAAACTTGCCCGCCGGGGCACCCAACGGGGGCTCGCGGACGGTCTTTCCTCCGACCGATTCGCAGTATTTCATCGCGAGGTACGGACTTAGTTCGCGGCAGGCTAGTAGTGTCACATATGCACGCCGATTTTGAGGGCAAAGCTGGCGCTCGTAGGGCGTATTTCAATGTAATGCTCACCTCAACGCGTGTACTTGCTTCATCGGCTTTTTCTCTGTAATCTCGGGTATCGTGTGCGACGCTAACTGATTGTTCTCTTCAACAATCCTCCCACCCGCGATGCGATTTCGAACTAGGTTCACCAACGCCGGCGACACGGTGCTAGGAGTTGGCGTCGAAAGTACAACAGTCGCAGAGGATGCCATCTCACGGGGGCGCCGGGTCGAGTTTTACGTGACGGATGAGTCCAAGCGCGCTAGTCTGCAGGCGAAGATCAGCTCGACCTTTCATAAGGCGCACAGCTCGGGCATGTTCCAGGTGGGGACGTAGCTTCTCGGGGTATGCNAATGCGGCTTTCACCTGTTTGCTTTTCTCCGCGCAGATGCATCTAACCCTAGTTTGAAGGCCCACCCTGTGTGTGTGTGGTACGATGGGCTTCAGGTGCTCATCATCAACCCTCTGGCTTGTACCTGTGCGTATCTATTTTAGCCTCAAACCCGAGTCACCATCTCCGTATTTACCGCCGCCTTCGCGTCTNGTACCTGTGCGTATCTATTTTAGCCTCAAACCCGAGTCACCACCTCCGTATTTACCGCCGCCTCCGCTTCTTATGTCGCGCAAGAACGAAGCACGCGTGTGGCGGCAGCTAAGTTGATCGAATGTTCTGATTGGTGAAAGTAGTACTGCTGTGGGACAGCACACAGCACCGCACAAAGTGGAAACTGCAATGAATGTTTGGTCTGGATACCCTTCTTGTGTAGCACAGCAGCACACAGCAGTATTTTCGCCTAGTCCTGCCAGCACAGCAGCACATCCCGAGCAGGATAACTGGAAAGTTTTGTCCCAATACGCCCAGCACCCAGCACTAAGTAGTGAACTGTTTCGTGACAGCGGGTCGGGTGGTGCTTTTGAGGGCTTGCCCTCGCCAAAACCACCCCTCGCTCCGTGCAATGAATTTTTTGGTCGCATGGCACCCTCCGGTCCTCATTCAGACTTCGTCGATGAGGTTCGTCACCACCAGTGCTACGTGGCGCGTCGTTCGTGTTCGATTGGCGAGTTTGTTGATGTTCTGCCCCACCCGGAATGACTCTGAAGCCCTTCCCGACTACATCGCTTTATTCCACTGTACCCGCAGAGCCGACGTGGAGGGAAGGAGGTTGTGGTCGGTCCAAACTGCTCACCTGCTGGCCTGCCGCCGTCCACTGTGCCCGAGCGTGTGTCCGAAGCCCTCAAAGCGGCACTGGAGAAGGAACCAGACGTTCTTACGGCATCTTACACCGTAGCTCAGACGATCGCCAAGACGACTCACCTCACCCTTTAGGTTACCACGATCAACAACGAGCGAATGTGCTTGGCGCAATTTCATGCACGTCACCCATCGTTGGAAAAGTCTAGTGTACGCGGGACTTCTCTCGGTTTGTTTTCGTGTCTTGCGTCTGAAGTGTTCTTGCCTGCAATCGCTGCTAGAAAGAACACCCCGCTGCGTCTTCGAATCTTTCTCGACTGACTGCAACCCTCACACCCGCACGTTTCTTTCTTTTTTTTTTTTCGCCGTCCGTGCAGGGTGACCACCACAGCCCCAAGCTAGTGACGAAGAAGCCGAGGAGAGCCAGTAAGGTGCCGAAAGAGGTGTCCGACATCCCCGTGTGGGGCGAATTGATCGTTTACCCTTCGCCCCAGGCCGCCAAGGATTCGCTGACCCAGGAGGAGGTGGATGAAGAGTACGTTCGTCTCCTTCAAATCGCCACCAACGCTCAGCTTCAGCTTATGCTGAAACCGGGTACGGAGCGTTGCACTCCTGAGGCAGCGTTGTACTTGAGGGTAGCTGCGACGTGCCCCGTCTTTTGGGTTAGGTCGGAATCAAAGACAAAGGCCGACCTTGACATTAGCTGTGATATCCCTCAGCGCGGCCTTCGGGCGAACATTCTAGAGACTCTCAGCTCTTCTGGCGACGGAAGTAGTGGTGGTGCGGTGAGTGTCCGTCATGTTCGAAACAAGCCATCCGCAACAAGTAACTACAAGGAAGAGGCTCTGTTCGTTAGCACGGAATGTCGGCGAATCGTTGGCTCGTTGATGTTCGACCCTGTCGTAGCAGGCGTTCAGGACGGGGAGGAGGATGAGGATGAAGAGGTGTGATCAGGCTTTTTAGCACTTGTCGGCGGTGCTCAATATCAACACCAGGGGGATCGTGCGTAGCTCCTAAGATATAGGTAGGTGGCGATTGCTCTCTTTTGGGTATCTGTTTTCGGACGTGTTCGTGTTCTTCGGCTGTGTTNTGTTAGGACGGGGAGGAGGATGAGGATGAAGAGGAGTGATCAGGCTTTTTAGCACTTGTCGGCGGTGCTCAATATCAACACCAGGGGGATCGTGCGTAGCTCCTAAGATATAGGGAGGTGGCGATTGCCCTCTTTTGGGTATCTGTTTTCGGCCGTGTTCGTGTTCTTCGGCTGTGTTCAACTATCAGTAAAATAGTACGTCGCGATGAACAGAACCCGCGTGGTTTCACAGAAGCTTTTGGTTACTGTCTCTCTAGGTATTCAGCAACTTGCGTCTTCCCGGCTGTGCAACACGGGCACCATTCTTATTTTGAAGACGGCACCAGTTCACAAGCTGTACATGTTCAATCTTCATGTACACTTTCGAAGGAGCTAACACTTCTTTCTCCCGAAGTACCCTCCCTCAACACATACCCAAGGCGGTGTCGCAATAATTGTGCAGCGTCGAAAGCCTCTGATCAGTCCTGTCTCCGAGGATTTTACTGCTCGTCGTGTTTTTCGCCATGGCAACAACAGGTATTTGGCGTGCTCACCAACGCCTGTATGAACTATTTCTGCCCGCGGTTACCCCCCGATAGCGCTTTCGATCATAACTAAATCCAAAGGGTGAACACAAGACGGGGGTGGTGTTCATTCCCATTTCAAAATTAGTTCCCANTGAAAGCCTCTGTTCAGTCCTGTCTCCGAGGATTTTACTGCTCGTCGTGTTTTTCGCCTGTATGAACTATTTCTGCCCGCGGTTACCCCCCGAAAGCGCATTCGATCATAACTAAATCCAAAGGGTGAACACAAGACGGGGGTGGTGTTCATTCCCATTTCAAAATTAGTTCCCATTTTTCTCGCAAACCTTTTATATTTGATACTGCTGACTTCCACAGCATCACGCCGATACTGCTGTACGNGTATTCGCGCTCCGATTTTGCGAGCTCGACTATACTGCTGTACCAATACGTGACGCCACGAAAAAGTGCGTGTGTTCTCTGCTGCACGACAGACAGTGCGTGTGTTCTCCGCTGCACGAAAAACAAAACATG